TGTGGTTCTTAGTTAAGTGCCGGCTCAGAACTAGAAGTTGAAGTATGAGAAAGAATGACATACTGTCTTCTTTTTTTAATGGTTCTGGGGCTCAAATTCAGGGTCTTGCATGCTAGTCATGCACTGTTACCACTGAGCTACCTTCCCAGACTGACCATAGTGTTACAGTATCTTGTTCAAAAGTAACCTGACTTAACAGGCTAATTTCAGCACCCATAGGTGGGTAGGTGCAGATGAAAGGTAAGTTACATAACTTTTTTTTTTTTTTTGCGGTACTAAGGTTTCAACTCAGGGCCTCATACTTGTTAGGCAGGCACTGTACCACTTGAGCCACTCCACCAGCCTTAAAAACTGTGCTTTCAAATAGTCAAAGATTAATCTTAATAATCTGTAGGTATATTTAAGTTTTTAACATTTTTGCTTTAATGAATTACTAGATGAACATGTTAGCAAATACATTTGTCCTAATTGCAGAAAAGTTCTGTAAGGGCATGGATTTGTATGTCTTGTTCACCAAACAAGTCCTATACTTGGCTCCTACTGGGTGCTTAATAAATAATTGGTAAAGAGAGAGCATCATAGGTAGCATTTCTAATGAATCTGTTATGGTTTTTGTGGACAGGTACTAAGAAGTTTCCTAAAACTATTTGTTTTGCTTTTTATACTATTTGTTCTCACAGAGTATAGTAATGATTCCTCTTATTGGTGGTATGTGCCTTGAGGGTATGAATTAGGTTCCTTGATTTTTCTAATCTAATGCTGCTATATCACCCTGTCTTAAGTTATGGTTCGGAAATCCCAGTACTTTTGAACTCTATGAAATTTAAATACTGTTAATAGCAGATTTGATGTTAAGTTTGGCTTAATTATGAGTTTGCGTTGTTAATGCTTTCTTTTCTATTTCCCTCTTGCATATAGCTCACCGGTGTTCCTTGCCTTAAATTATTTTAATTTCACTTCTGTGTTAACCTGAAAATGTGTGAAATACAGAAAAATAGAGGGAATTACTTTTAAGTTCTACAATCCAGTGGCAGAAGTTTCCCACACGATTTGAGGTTGCTTTTCAAGCCATCTGTATGTTTTCAAGATCAAAGTTTTGTACTGTTAGTATACAATATTCTAGATAGCTGAGGATTTTACTTTGTCTTATAGTGGTGTGGTTACTAAATTGTTCTATATTCAAGTTTTTCCTTGTGTTTCTTTTCTCTTTTTGATTTTTGAATTAGGAAGTGTCTTTTAGCCAGAAAAGGTATTCAGATGGTGAAGGTTGGTAAGCTTTGTCCTATTTGTCTTCAGGACATTTGTGGTCAGTCATATACTTCCTTAACATATTGGTGAGCATCAAAGGAAGAAGCATAACTGGTGTAGAGGAAACACTCTGACCTCCTCCCTGAGCAGAAAGGAAGTATTTGTATATAAATACTACGGGTTTGCAAGTTTTTTACTGTTTTGAAAACTCCCATGGGTTGGAGGATATGCAGGAACCTCAGTACTGTTTACAGGTAGGAAGTGCTCTGTGTAATGATTGCAACTTTAAAATATTCTCACATCTCCAGGTGTATAAAATCTGATTTAGCTATAGTAATTAACATTTTCCCTAGCTGTTATTTCAAATATAAGATCATTGTTACCTGAGAAGGGAAAAGCTAATGAAGTGAGTAAAATGAGTTTTCTAGTCTAAAATCATATTTGTGAGATATATATATAGATATATATATACATACTGAAGAATGTAAATTTTTGTGTGCCATAGTATTACGTGAGCACACTAGGTGATGATGGCAAGCAGATGTTGCATTGGTCTCCATCCCCAGTCAGGAGAGATGTCTGCAGCACAGAGCAAGGGAGAAAGAGGATGAACAGGTCAGTAGTACACTAGCTAATTCTTGTTTAGTACTTTAAAACAAAAGCCCAGAATAATTACTTTTTCCTTTAAATGCTTGTCAAGATTATTACATTTAATTAAAGGTACATTTCTATAGTATGCAGAAAATTTGGAAAACCTGCTAATGCAAATGAGATGTTGGCAATATATAATTATCAAAAGAGAAATTGAATACCAGTGATTCTTTGTTACAGTAAAGGATAAACTCATTTCATGAAACTAAAAGTGGCCCCTCTGGCATTTTTTTCCTGTTTTGGTATTGTGAAACATAACTGTATGTAACAGTGGTCTAAACTTGTTTGGTCTGACTTATTTCTGGTTCATTTGTCCATTCAGGTCATGTCATCTTATTTAATAGATTATAATTAAGATAAAAATGTGTACCTTCTCAGTTCCTGCTCTTTAACTTATAATCAGTCTCTGAGGAACTGGTAACTGACTGCTGTCATTCTGCTGATTAGTGATTGTCTTGATTTCATTATGTATATTTTACACATGAATTTTATTGAGTCACCCAGGATTTAAAATGGGCTTGCTTTTTGCAGCAAGTAATTCTTGAAGTGTTACGCTGTTATATCAGATTGGCAGTGGAGGTATATCTTGATAAGATACGTACAGCATCTTGGTGTAATGACAAATTTCCATATGTGGACCTATGAAGATTTATTAAATGATTAGAATTTAGTAGGATTGTGACCTACAGAATTAAACAACATAATTACTGCATGCTTTCTTGAACTTTCTCAGAAAACTCATTCTCTAATTATTTACCCATTCCAGTAAATATAGTAACCACTAGTTAAATGAGAGAAATATGCTAGCACATCCATTAAAGAGAGTGACGGGACTATGCACAGCAGTTATCAGAGATGCTTTTATTATGTGCCTAAGTAGCAGTTTGAGCTTTATTTATATGATTTCCTGGCCTTGGGATTGTACCTAGGTAGAACGATGCATGGTTCTTTGTAAAATGCCGTCTAGACTCAATAGCCAATTGTATTTGTTCTTTTGTTCATGTTTTCTCTGGGAGCACGAGTGACTGCCTAAGCAGGCTGTGTAATTGTTGACTTTATCTAATGAGTACTTTTAAAATTGGGGGGGGAAGGACACGACACACTTATTTATTTTATTCAGCATTGACTTTTGAATCTTAATTTTGGCAGACTTTCAGAGTGCCTAGGAATAAGGTTGACATTAGCATTTTGAGTCATGTAATTATCCTGTGTTGGATCCTGTGTTAGATTCCAAAGGGTGCCTGCTTGTTAGAGCTAGTACATGGTATTTATTAAAATGTTTTATTTCATTTGTTAACTTTTTCTCTACATATACAATTTTGGGCTGTGGGTGTGAGTCGAGTGGTACAGCATCAGCCATTCAAGTGTGAAGCCTGAAGTTCAAACCCTAGTACTGTCAAAAAGAGATCTATGTACAAAATGTTTACCATCTTAACCTTTAGGTAGATTCCAGCCATACCTCGCTTTATTTTTCTCTATAAAGTATAACTCTGCATTATAAACTTGTCTTTTGTAAGCAGCTTAATTGTAGTTATGTATTATAGTGGTACATTTAAATAATTTTAAAGATTTTTTTTTAAGTCTTTCCTGTGGAAAAATTCAGGAGTAGATTTTTACTTTTAGCTATAAGTCTTTCCTGTGGAAAAATTCAGGAGTAGATTTTTACTTTTAGCTATAATTGATAGATCAGCCAATAATTGTTTGGAAACTTTTGATCTTTGACCTCCTTTCTGGGATTACCACTAACATTGAGTATCTAATCAGAAAGCTACTTTTTTATTAGAAAACTAATCAGAAGTAATGTGGCTTACAAAAACATAGATTTATTTGCTCATTCTTATACTATTTCAATTAAAGCCACATTTGCATGTTTCAGGGCTAATGAAAATATTAAAATAGTTACAGATATTGATTGCTTATAAATTATGAATTCATACAGGGCCATCAAGTGGCATTTAATTAACTCAACAAAATGAGCTAAGTGGGATCCAAGACATTTTATTATCTTGTGGAACACTACAAATACAGTATAGAAGTCAAATAAGCATTCAAAGCCTATAACTGCTTATGAATAAATCCCGGACCTGTTTTTAACTGCTAGTTTGTTTTTAAAAATACAACCTCTGTTGTTTTTTTTTCTTCAAATGCTCTATTCCTTCACTATGTTTCAGAAGAGACCACACTTTCCTGTTAATGACACTGTCTTTATTAACAACAGAGTCCTTCATTTAATTCTTTTGGCTTAATCCTTAATAACTAAAAATGGTAATTACTAATACTTATTGAGCACATACTATGTTTCAGACTCTAGTCTATGTATTTTCTGTATATTAATTAAAACATTAATTATAACATTTAATTCTCTTGATAAGCACTGTGTCCTTTTTACAGATTAGGAAACTGAGGTCTAGAGAGCAAGGTAACTTCAGAGCACAAGTAAATGCAGACTCATGGATTTGAACTCAGCTAGTCTTACTCTAGACCTTTCCCCACCATCCATGTTTTTATAACGCAAGCCTGAATATTGCATTGCACTGTTGTTTATGCTTTTCTCCTTGCCTACATCCAGCTGGGGAAAAGCATGTACACTGTAGGCTAGTTGTCCAAATCTGGGTTTCACTTGGCCTGCCATTTCATTTGCTTTGTGATATTAGACAAATTGCCTTTTACATCTTTGAGATGATATGTATCTTATAGAATAATGTATCCTATCTTACAGAATATCTTATAATTAAGTAGGGCTATGTATAAAATGAGCATGTAGTGCTTGACACATGGTCAACACCACCCTTGGCCTGAGAGAGAGCAGTTTTTCTTAGTGCTGCCAATTGTGAGAGACTGGGGAGGTCTTTAACAAGGTGTTCTCTGTGACGTGTCTATCCTGTCATCCTCATTGGATCAGTGCAGTATTGATCAAAGTGGTATGTGTGTTTTAAACTGTATTTTGTTGTTTTGGAGTACAGATAATTGCTAGAGGATTTCTCTTTTCAATGTTCTTCCTTAAGGTTGAAGCCCAGTCCTGAGAAATTTTTTAGTGCATAAAAGCTTCCTGTGGAGTATATTATACAGCTTATTTACTTTTTTCTTTAATTTTTTTCTAGGAAATTTGGTGAGCGGCCTCCACCCAAACGACTCACTAGGTAAGCATTCTATTAGTCTTTCACTCAAACATTTCATATATGTGTAGCTCCTGTCATTTTAGAAACTATGTTAGGAGGTCTTCTCCAGATCATAAGCTTATCCCTTCCCCTCTTCCCCCCAAAACAAAATAGGAATAAGAGGGTATACTCAAAAGGGAAGAATGAAGCCTTTTTGAAAATTAAACTAAAGTATCATGTAGTGAAGTTACCAACGGTGGCACATAAAGAAAGTTTCCTGAACCTAATGATTATGGGTAAGACTGGAAAGTTTTAATAAATGCTTTTTTTTTGAAAAGAAAACAATATTTTTACCTATTTTAAAGAAAACATAAGATTGGCTGGTTTTCTTTTTAATGAGAGTATATGTAATATATGCACATACATATACACTGTTCTCATTATAAAATTAATTTACAATTCACATTTTAATTACAGATGTTAAATTTCATAAAAACGATTTAAAAAGGTTTCTAAGTCAGATATAAAATAAAGAAGCCATTTCCAGTCTTCTTTCTCTTTCAAGAAAATTGCTTGCATAAAGATGTATATGTGTGTTTTTTCTTTTTCTTTCGCAATGAGACTAGGAGCATACTCTACCATTGTTTTGCACCCTTAACTCGACAGTGTATTACATCATCTACATTGACAGTCTGCTTTGATGGCTTTGCATTTTCCATTTTCTTCACACCATTCTTGACTTAATGTTTTACATTGATGGCTATTTACGATAGTTCCAAATTAGTGCTACTATTAAAAGAGCTGTTGCACTTAAAGAATGATGGGAACCTGTCAGAAGAACACAGGAGGCAGTTTGAAGCATTTTCTGCTAGGCAAATCTTCATCAAATAAATAATGATGTAATAGATTAAAACCTATAGATGAAGTCTGTATAGGTTGAGCATCCCTTATCTGAGAATCTGAAATGCTCCAGGACCCTAAATTTTTTAATTGTTGACATCATGCTCAAAAAGCTTGGGATTATGGAGTGTTTTAGCTCTTAAAGTCTATGCAAATACTACAAACTCCAAAAAATTCCAAAATCTGAAATGCTTTTGGTCCCAAGCATTTCAGAAAAGGGATATTTCAACCTTTACTGATAATTACTTACCTTCATACTGCATTACTTATCTCAATATACAAATAATTACATATCTCATTGTGCATATTATTTATATAAAATATTGTAGAATTATTTATATAAATGAATCAGTAAATAGGGGAAAGGAGATAGCTTTTCTTAAGAGAAGAATGCCACCTAATAATGACTTGCAAAAGGATTGTGGAATTGAGGAAACCCCCATTTGACAGTCACCATAGTGGTAATTATTTCAGGCAAAAATCAGTGCATGCTTAAACTACCAGATTAAATGAAGTGTGAGGAAAACAAAATACTTATGTAATCTCAACAAATCCTTACAAAGTATAAGAGGAAAGACTGTAGGATGATGATAGTTCAGAAACCTAACAGATACCACCTTAGTTAAGTAATCTAAATTGACATCACCAGTAATGAATAAGTAGATATTGTGTGTATGCCAAGAGTGACACAGAATCACCTTCAGTTTAAGGAAATATCAGACAGATGCAAATTAAGGAACAGTCTATAAAATAAATGTATTTATTCTTTAAAAATCTCAAGATCATGAAAAACAAAGAGTAAGGAACTGCTCCAGATAAAAGGAGGCCAAGAGACATAGTAAGTATATTTAAGTAAATCCTGAACCAGGGAAATTTTTTCCTTTTCTGTAAACTAGAGTTGGCAAATGTGTTTTGCAGTGGTGGGTCAAATAAAAAATGTTAGGCTTTGTCAGCAAGACTGAGTGTTTTGTGGATTGTCAACTCTGCTTTTGTATCCTCAAATTACCCATAGGTAATATGTAAATTAATGGCATATCTGTCTTCCAGCACATCTTTTTTTTCTTTTAAAGAACAAAAACCAATGGTTGTCCTAATTTGACACAAGGGCAGTAGTTCTCCAGATACTTACTTCTTGCCCAGTAAAGGATAGTAGTCATCCCAGTAGTAGTCAAACAATAGACAGAATTTGAATAAAATCTGAAAAGTAGAATTGCTCTATTTACATATATAGGTAATTTAAAATTTAATAAATATTTTTGTGTTCTAAGCAACCAACAGTTCCTTGGATTGACTTCTAAGACTAATATGTTTTGATGACTAAGTTAGTTAATGGATAAGTTTGTAAAAATAATATGTTAGTCAACTTCATAAGGAAATTTTCCTTTACCTAAATACATCCAATAATATAGTTAGGTCCCATCTACTTTGTCATGATTTTTCTTCATGTGCCCTTTAAGTGATTTTTACCTGTTTGGAAAATCTTAGTAGCTTTAAGGACTACCACTTCTGGCCAAGATGGACAGGAACTGGAAGTCCTCTCTGGCCTGAAACAACTAAAAACACTGACAAAAAGTATGAAACAGTAGCTTTTAAGATTTTGAATGTCAGGCAAGGAAGAACAGTGATTCCCAACAAACAGGAGACAAATGAGGCAGCTCTACAATTGTCCCAACTTCTTGCCTAGAGTTTCAGGGTCAGTAGGAGAATTCACATTTATCTGGGAATGCAGAGGCTAAGACACTATTGTTTGCAGGGCAGATCCACAGAGCAAGGTACAGAATGAATGGTACAAAGAGTTCCAGATCTGCAGAGGGTCTCTTGTGGTCTTGATGATCAAGTATGTAAGGACCATGGTTGGAGACAAACCTATCTAGAAGAATTAGAGGAAATAGTTCCTGAAACCCACTTGTAGCTGTGAGGCAGAAGGGGTTTCAGAGATGCAGAAAAACTTTTAGGGATTATGAATATTTTTATTTTGATTCTGGTGATGGTGTGTATATATATATATATATATATATATATATATATATATATATTTACTTAAACACACACACACATATTACACGCCAAAACTTGCCATGTTGTATACCTTAAGTTCATTTTATTGTATTTCAATTAAATCACAATAAAACTTTGGTAGCTAGCTTTTATACTTTAAAAATGTATATTGGCGTATCTGGTAGGAGAGAATTCAGTTGGTCTTTGTTTCTTTAAAAATGGACAAAGTACAGATTTATATTCTTTGTTACCACAGCTAGTATAAAGCAAATTTAGCAATAACAGCAAATGGAAAACCACTTACCAACTCTAATAAAAATTTGTTTTATTAAGCACAAATTTGAAAATTAGGACACACTCCCTTTTAATAGTATAGCAAATTGAGGCCCCACCTAACATATACATCTCTTTTAAAGAGATTTCCCTTTGAGGAAAATGTTAATATGATATTTTTTATTTGATCCAATAAAAGAGTTCACTGGGGTATGGAAGGTTTAATTCAGGGAGGGTTTCTTTTCTTTCTTTTGGAGGTATTGGTGATCCAATTCAGGGCCTCTGCTCTACCACTTGAGCCACAACCCTAGTCCTCTTTTTAAACATTTTTTAAAACCTATACTTCTCTATCATTATTCCCATTTTCCAAATTAAAAAATACTGGAAAATATCTTGTTGTTTAGAAAAAACAATTTCTGTCTGCAGAGTTTCTTTTAGAGTTTATAGCAGAGATAAGTATGATAGGAATTGAGTTTTAACCATAAAGAGCATCTCACTCTGTTGAAATACCTTAATGTGGCACACAGGTATAACTGACAGTTCACAAAAACATACTTGGCTACCAGATCTTAACTAAGGTAGAGAAACAGTTGTTCTTTTTACCATTCAGGCTTCTCATTTTATCATTTATAGCCTGGTGTCATCAATGAAGACCTTAGTTACAGTGCAGTTAGGAATCAGACTTCAGGAATGCTGAGTGCATTGCTTTGAGGTGCGCATCTCTTGGGTAGGAGGTCTGGGGTCTGAAGTTACAACTACAACAGGAGTGTAACACATACATTCAAAACAGAGAAATAATCCTGGTGTACCAAGTGACTTGGTCCTGTTGTAATAACGAAAGAGTTTTACTGGAATCTTGAAGGTTCTTACATTGCAAGAAACCTGCGAAGGCATGTAATCTTACTAACCTTCTCTCTATAACACTACAGCCTGGTAGCTACTAACTCATGTTTGCGTTGCAGTTGTTTAGTAGCAAGGAATTTCCTTCATAAGGTTTACAATTTCTTTAGCTAAATTGCTGGAACTATTTTATGTTCTCTTGCTCAGAAAACCATTTGTCTATCACTTGAACTAACCCTTGTTACAAAGCCCACCTTCTGTTGGTCTCACTGCCATATCTCTGTTCTTATAATATCTCTATGTGTGTCTTTAATGCTCTGGTCAGACTTTATGGAAATAATCAGTTTCTGAAACACTCTTCTTGTTTTGTTTTGGAGGTTGCCCTAAAATGAGTAATAATACCCTGTTATGGAATAATCCAGTCCCTATGTATGAGAACTGACCTTGGGGTGCTGTGAAATTGAAGAGGGACGCAGATTCAGGTTTACAAAGTACAATTTGTTAGGGACTGGCAGAAATGTGGTTATGGGTGGCAGTAACACCAAGTAAATATCTACAGTTTGGGTCAGGAAACAGGTGTGTATAAAGTGGTCAAGACATAGGTGACTTCATTAAAGCTGGAATATACCTGATTTATCTTAAGCTAATAGCATCAGAGTTGGGCACATTCCTGGTACCAAGTTCAGGTTATAAAGCTCCACATACCATTTTAATGGCTTTGTCTATTTATTGTATGCTGGGAAACCCTGCAGGAAAAACCAGCCAGTGTCACTGGGGGATAGTCATGGCACTTATGACTTGATATGGCTGCAGTTGAGTCAAGCTGGGTCCCTCCCTACACACTCTTAAGACGAAGCTTAAGAAACAGCCTCCATATCTGTTGTCCACCTTAACATAGGTTATATGTTCATATTTATTATTAATTTGGGGATTCCATTGTCTTTCAGTAAGTCCTGACTTTTTGTTTTTGAATCTTATCCATATATGCACTTCTTTTGGCAATACTGCTTTCAAACTCAGAACCTTGTACT